CTCTCGGCACTGAGGTCTCAATCTGCCAACTCCTCAGTGTCGAGTGACAACCGGTCTTACCCTGTGTCGCTGCTTTTATACTCGCTGTGCGCGCGGGAACGGTATGGGCTGACGTGGTCTGAACTGACGTGGCCTGAGTTGTGTGGGCGGGAGGTCGCTGAAGTAGGGGGCGCCATGTTGCCGGCAATCGTTTCGCGTCATCGCGCGTATTTAAGCTGTTAGGCCGTTTTTCGATTTCGATAGCTTCACGAATGATTCTTGATTTTAAGGAGCGGATGGGGGCGATGGTTTTTGCTTTTTCGAAGTCTATTTTGTGGTCTGTTTGAATATGATGTTGGGCTAGGGCTGAAGTAGTATCGGAATGTTTGACTGATATAGAATGTTCTGAAGCTATTTTCTTGTGGCATTGTAAATTAATTACTATTAAACTGGGAATAAGCCACAATTAAAGATAAAAATACGTTTATTGACGTTTCAATTTCCACTTCGGAAATCGTTCTCAAAATACAAACAGTAAATTTAAAAAAAAAAAAAAAAAAAAAAAAAAAAAAAAAAAAAAAAAATTGTTTAATTTACTGTTTGTATTTTGAGAACGATTTCCGAAGTGGAAATTGACACGTCAATAAACGTATTTTTATCTTTAATTGTGGCTTATTCCCAGTTTAATAGTAATTGATATAGAATGTTCGTAAATACGGTTATGGATTCGTCGGTTTGTCTGTCCGATGTATGTACGTGGGCAGCTGGAACAAGGTATCTCGTAGACACCATGGTCTTCATTAGGGATTTGGTCTTTTACGGATCTGACGAGATTGGACAACTTGGAGTGAGTAGTGAAGATGGTTTTGATGTTTAGAGGGAGAAGCGTTCTACTGATTTTGTCAGTGACACCTTTAATAAAAGGTAGAAAGATTTTGGGTTGATCCGGCGGCAAGGTTTCTTTTTTGGATGGAATGGGGTTTAGATGTTTTTGAATACTCTTATTGATTTGGGTTTTGTGGTAGCCGTTTTGTAAGAATGTTTGCCTTATTGAATTGATTTCGGATGACCTATCATTGATGTCGCTAAGTCTTGTGGAACGAGAAATGAGAGTGTTGACCACTGAATTGAGTTGGGCGGGGTGATGATGTGACTGGGCATTAAGATATCGGTTTGTATGAGTATCTTTGCGGTACACGGAATAGGAAAAACTGTGCGGTAAGTTTTTCTGAATAAGGACATCAAGGAATGGCAAAGACGCGTCAGACTCGACTTCCATCGTGAATTGAATACTAGGATGTATTCCATTCAGGTGGGAGAGGAAGAGATCTAACGTGCCCTTACCATGAGGCCAAATGACAAAAGTGTCATCAACATACCGTAACCAGCAGGTGGGTTTAAGATTTGATGAGGACAGGGCTGCTGTTTCGAAATGTTCCATGAAAATATCAGCTATTACGGGAGAGGGGGGAGATCCCATTGGGACACCTTTGATTTACGATAGAAATGATTTTGAAATGAAAAGTATGTATTAGACATGCAGTGTTTTATAAGAGATAGTGTGTCTTGGTGGATTTGATATTTAGAGTCCAAGATGGAAATGGTTTCATCGATGGTAATGTTGGTGAACAAAGAAACAATGTCAAAACTAACTAGTATATCTGAGGGAGAAATAGAAATATTTTTCAGAAGATCTATAAAATGAAAAGAGTTTTCGACAAAAGACGAAGCTTTTTCGGCTAATGGTTGTAAAGATAAAGCGAGATGTTTTGCTAATTTCTGAGTGGGGCAGTTGTATGCACTGATGATGGGTCTTAGGGAAACATTGGTCTTATGGATTTTTGGAAGGGCGTATATTTTTGGAATTCGGGATGATTTTTCTCTGGGTATAAGAGATTTTTTGATGTCTGAAGATAGAGTAGACTTATTTATGATGGATTTGGTCGTTTTTCTAGATAAGTGGTGGGATCGTTTGGGACGCGTTTGTATTCTGTGGAATTGAGAAGTTCGAACATTTTGTCGAAATAATTAGAAGAGTTAAGAGTAACAGTTACATTACCTTTGTCGGCCGGAAGGATGACAATGTCAGGGTTGTTATAAAGTTCTTTGACGGCGCGTCTTTCTGAAAGACTGATATTTGACGGTGGCGGTTTGGAAGTACGGAGAATTCTGGCGACATCTTGTCTGGCAACTTCGGCTTGATAGGAAGGAAGATGAGAAATAGCTTCTTCAGTTTGACAAATAATTTTCTCAGTTGGGATTGAAAGAGGTGTGACAGAAAAATTGAACCCTTTTTGATAGAGCTATATATATATATATATATATATATATATATATATATATATACAAACAACACAGTTTATTAGGGTTGCAGTCAGAATATTGGCCGGGATGTTAAGAAAACACTCTTTTGACTTTTGTCTAGCTTTTGGAATGGTTTTATTCCTTTTTCAAGACATAGTCGTTGAGATTATTTATATAAACATGGACACTCAACATTTATAACACACAATAAAATATAAAATTATGGACAAAATAAATTCTAAAGTTTTTTAAAATTTCTGGTAAAGATAGTAAAACTTAGTTTATGGCATGTTTTACTAGTGTGTTTAAACTCATATGTATAGTGAATGGAAAGTAAAGTGTACAGTGTTTTTACTTTCCATTCACTATACATTTGAGTTTTAAAAACTAAGTTTTACTATCTTTACCATAAATTTGAAAAAATTTTAGAATGTATTTTGTCCATAATTTTATATTTTAATGTGTGTTATTATAAATGTTGAGTGTCAATGCTTATATAAATAATCTCAACGACTTTTCAACAACATTTCTCTCGGAATGTGCATTGTTTCGTATCAGCCATTATTTCTGTATATTTAAGATTAACAGAACTAGAGATTTGTTTGAGAAGACTTATGTGAGTTTGGACTTTAAATGCCAGCATCCGACAATAAATGTTCTAGGGTCATTTTTATCGATAACGTCTCTGATTGGTTGCATGTTCTTATGTACAAGGAGAGTCCATTTGTCGTTCGAAATTTTGAGATTGATTTCTTCATGGTGTTGTTGATTGGGGTTAACGGATACTGGGAGTGGATGACTGGAATCAGTCCGAGGAATTTAAAAGAAAATTACTCATGATAGGGTTTTAATCTATCGAAATTCACTTTCATTGTTCTATTGGTTTGGGTATTTAATAAAGTAGCCGATTTTACGTGGATTTCTTGAATTTCGAATGGGCCTTTAAACTTATTTTGGGCTATGTCCTTAATTTGCGATTCCTTGACGTAAACCTTATCGCCTATTTTATATTCTGGAGGGTTTGATGACACGTCTTGATCGAATCTTTCTTTAGCCTTTTCTATTTATCTTTCCGTTTTGGCTCGTGCCACTTTATAGACATATTGCATACGATTACCTTAAGTCTCTAACGTAGATTTATATAAGGATTTTCTTATTGTATGGACGGTCTAAAAGAAGTATGTCCAAAAATGAGTTCGTACGGTGTAAATTCGTGGGTTTTGTTTTTTGTGTTATTGTAGCAAATAACTGCGTAAGGTAGAACATTGGACGGATGTTCATCAGGATTTTCAGCTTGATTAGCTCTTATAATTTCGCTTAGGGTTGCGTGAAATCTTTCGATAGAACCATTAGATTGTGGGTGGCCCACACTTGAGAAGGTTAGTTTTATGTCCAAATTACTATGGTCCAAACATGTCCAATATGTATAAAAAAGATGTGAGAAAGGCATCAATCTTCTTAATTGTGCCACTTGCAGGAAATGGGGTGCTAATCCCAAAGTTGCATTGATGTTTTACAGGACCTACGTGCAGTAGATTCACTACTACTGTATTTGAACGCGTTAGGATCGCTAGAAATTATTGTCATTTCCCCAATTTTTACAGATTTGTCGGTACCATAATCTATTACCGGATCATGTGGAATGCAGCTCATTCCAGGGTCGCAGAAGCACTACGTCTGCTCGATCTTTCAATTTCATTATGTCGTGCTTGCTGTTGTTGTATTTGATATGTACAAACTCGTTATTGTCACTTACTAAAGAATGCAATTCTGACATAGCAATACGACTTTTTTCTTAATCTGTCTCTCTCTGGTCATCAGTGCGGTTAGTACGTGAGGTAGCTCTTCGCAAATTTGATTGACTACGACGACCTAAGTCAAATCGTCTTCTCCTCGACATTGTAATTAATCAAAGTGGGAAAAGTTCTCGTATACTTAGAGGTAAAGTGTCACTATCACAAAATATTAACAAAAAAGCAGCACGTGACTTAAAATGCCACCATTACAAATGATCACCGTAAAGAAAATTCTTGCGCACGTAGCGGTAAGCGGATGGACTCTTTGTCATAAAAGAAATAGATCGACATATTTGTTGGTTGTCAAGTGTCACATAATATGTTCAGAAATTTAATCTGTGACAAAACTTAAGATTTATCAAGCTATATAAAATTAATCTGATAGACAGTTAACAACGATGTTTGATTTCTTGATTGTCAAATATTATAAACGTTCCCTGAACTTCCACATAATTCAAGAACAAAATTAGGCAAATTGATCCAGCTGTTCTCAAGTTTTAGCAAGACTAACGAACAACAATTGATTTTTATATATGTAGATTATGTAAACTCAGATTTTTTACTATTTATTCTTTAACATTCTCATTCATCGTTGTTTTTATCTGCTGTAGCAAATTTTATTAACATAAAATTTAGCATAAAATGTCATGTGTGTCTATAAATACTGTCCCATTATACCGTAATCATTTATCTTTCTGTATTATCGAATTATAAATACACAATTTATGAAACAAAACATTTTCATTTAGAGAGTACTTGTCACAACCTTTTAAAATTATATAAATTGTCAGTAGATCGACACCTAATATATGGAAATTGATTTTTCCCCAAGCAGCATATGATTTATAAGTAAAAATTTACAAAACGACTTAAGTATTATATAATTATCTAGTCACTGATTTTGAACATTTTTTTTTACAGGATCGCGAAAGTAACCGAGGACGAGGTGGCCGTGGAGGAAGCAGAAACTAATGTTTAGAAGACATATTAAAAAAAAACAAACACAACCACCATAACCACTGTTTATGGCTGCTGTGTTTACTATAGAGTTATTCCCATTATCGGCTTTTTAAAACTGTTTATGGACAAATCATTCATCTAATAAATAATCGAATCGTTGTTCATTTCCCGGGGTATTGTAATAAATTAAAACATATTTTTCGTACATTTTCATCTTTTATATATTAATTATGATAATTATTTCTACGTGACTGGTACATGTAGATCAATATTATTTTTATTTAAACAAGGTTCGAAATTTTAGACCCTGACGACAACTTTCAGATTGTGATACTTACATTCAGTTGTAAAACATTTTAAGATTATTTTCTATTAAGCAAAGTGCTTCAGAAATAAATATCAGCATATACTTATGAAGTTATACATATTTAACTAAATCTTAAATCCCTTTCCACACTAAAGTTTATCATCATTCATTAAAAATATCATTTTTACTTCATTTAAAAAGCACAAAAATAAAAACAAAACGAACTAATTGTATATATAGAGTAGTTTATTGTAGTATCAGCAAATTGGTCAGTAAGAAATAAAATTCTATTTGTTTTAGATCTCAATATTTCGTCACGATTTTGATACTTCAGCAGGAGAAAACTGTAAGTGTATTAGAATTATTAGATGTTAACAAAGTGAATATTTTATTACCAAAAAAGAAGAAATTTAAAATTCGCCAACATACACTTAATATTTATTTGATTTTGACATATTTAGGAGTTATGGTAGCTGCAATATATTACATTTTTATAGAGTGAAAAGTCTGACGTTGGCATGTTAAATAGATCTATAAAATAAAATTATTGGTACGTACTTAGTTATAGTGAGACTAATATTCAGAAATGAAATAAAATTGTAGGTAGAATACCTACAATAAAAGTTGAGTGTTTGTTTTTTAAAGGTTAGAATCTATCATGTCTTACTCTACCTACAATTTTATTCAATGTTTTAGTATCAGTCTTACAATAACTAACTACGTACCAATAATTACATTTTATAGATCAATTTAACATGCTCATGATACTTTCCCATTTCTTTAATAGTAATTGCATCTTTCCACCTTAAAATATCAATAATACTGTCTGTTTCACAATTTACTTATTAAAAATTATTCAATCTTAGACTTCACTCTATAAAAATATAATATATTGCAGATACCATAACTCCTAAATAAGTCATTCTATCCTAAATAAATATCATTTAGATATGTTGGCTAATTCTAAATTTCTATTGTTTAGTTTTAAGTAATGAAATATTCACAATGTTAATATTTCTAATAAATTTACATCTTTCTCCTGAAGAAGTCACTGACCAAATATTGAGACCTAAGAAAAATAGAGTTTTATTTCTTACTGACCGATTTGCTCATACTATACATAACTGTTATTATTAAACAGAGTACGGTCAGATATACATATATATATATATATATATATATATATATATATATATATATATTATATATATATATATATATATATATTAGTTAATGGATTCGACTGTTACTTGATGGAAATTCATTTTATGTAACAATAAAACACTGAAAACTTTGTTTTCAAACTTCCACAAAATTTATTTAAAACTCTTATCACTACAGCTGTTTCGGTTGATTGCCTTTTTCGAGTGATCTATTTTTGGCATGCGTTTATACTTTATAGTCTCTAATGAAATAGGTTGAGGAGGGGAGAACTGTTTGTCCCAAGTTGGTCATTCAGAATTATATCTGTGTTTTTTAATTTGTTGATTTCCATAGATTCAACAAGGATAGCTTAAGGCCTTTATTTTGAATGTGAGGAATTTTAAATTTGTCATTAAAAGAATGATTTTGATCTAAAAGGTGAAGGGCGTATGCAGAAGCTGTTTTTCTATTATTGAAAGCCCTTTTATATTCTGCTATTCGTTTATTAAAGTTTCTACCAGTTTGACCTATGTAAGTTTAAGATATAATAAAGATATATTAAAAACAATAAGGGCCAAAATAAAAAAACACTTACATAGTGGGGTGTACAAACTTAAATATGGCGACTGCCCAAAAAGTTACATCGGTCAAACTGGCAGAAACTTTAATAAACGAATAGCAGAATATAAAAGGGCTTTCAATAATAAAAAAAAACATATTCTACATACGCCTAGATTCTTCTAGATCACAATCATTCTTTTAATGACGAATTTAAAATTCTTCACATTCAAAGTAAAGGCCTTAAGCTATCCTAGTTAAAATCTGTGGAAATCAATAAATTAAAAAACACAGACATAATTCTGAATAACCAACTTGGGACAAACAGTTCTCCCCTCCTCAAGCTATTTTATTAGAGACTATAAAGTGTAAACGCATGCCAAAAAGAGATCACTTGAGAAAGGCAATCAGCCGAAACAGCTGTAGTGATAAGAGTTTAAAATAAATTTTGGTCAAAGTTTGAAAACAAAGTTTTTAGTGCTTTATTGTTACATATATATATATATTATATATATATATATTTATATATATATATATATATATATATATATATATATCGCAAAAAGGAGTACGACCGTCTATCCAATATATAATAAGGATCACTCAGACGAGTGGTGGGTTCAAATATCGGTCTACTAGGAGGAGAAATAAAAGACAAAGTTGATACTATTTCATCTATTTTGAAGACGTTTCGCTATCGAATTCTGATAGCATCATCAATTCATCTAAAAAATTTTTACATTATGAGAACCACACATTCATGAAGATGTTAAATAGTTACTTTTAAAAGATATGTAGTTGTCAATGGTATTAAAAAGATAGTATAAAAACTCAAATAAATGGACATCATATGGTGATATTGTATAAACAATTAAATAACTAACAACATTTAGTAAAAATTAGCAAAGCAACAGAACACGTGGTCTAATAAGTATATAATATTTTATATAATAATAACTAGTGAAAAAAAACTAAGAAAATCATCGATTCACTTCCAACTATGCAAAAAATTTTATTTTATGATTTCATCTTAACTTTTGGTAGCATTATTTAAGTTATCTACATTGAGATATAAAAAATATATATAAAAAAATATAAAGTGAAGTTACCACTGTATGCTTGGCACCTGTTGCGGTTGAAATGGCGTTAATTAAAAGATACCGAGCCAATGACATGAACAGACAACCAACCTTGAGGTCGAAAGTTGTTCGACAGAACAGCAAGGTTAAGAGTACCAACCCACTAATTTACGGGCGGTATATTTGAAAAAGTTAACATGAGTTTGAATGATAACCCTCCCGTAAGAGACCAAACAATGAAAGAAATCAGCGATAACGTTAATCCCCTGCATCAACCAGTCTAGAACAAACAGGTAGGCAAAATTCATTCAACTTATATAAAAGAGTGATAAGCCGTCAACAGTGTAGTTGGGTATACAACTACAGGTGAATGACGATAAGCACCTAATTTCCAAAAATTCCAAGGTCCCACGCTTGGAACTTTAATTTATAAGGTATTAAAAGAATGAATTGTATTAATTGTATTAAAGTAAAAAACCAGAAGTTCACATTAATCAATGTATGAAAAAACGACAAAGTATGCAATGTGAATTGCATAAGTAAGTCTAAGTTAATTGGCATTATTGTAATATTATATTTTATCAAGTATTAACTATAGTAAGTTAAAGTTTTAGAATTATTTATTAAAACAAATGTGTTGAATTGTACGACTTTAGAGACACATACATAATGAACTGATTGTAAAGCCTAATTCTGCAAAATTAAAGCATGATATATTTGGCTCAAGTTACTTATGTCAGTTTTCTTATTTAAAGCATTAGGATGTTTAAGAATAGAACACATTTCTAAGAACTGTCTTTTACCAAAATTGCGCTCAGTGCCAAGAATTTTGACTTCATTGAAATTCACCTTATGTTTGGTGTTAATTGCGTGTTGCGCTAACGCACATGTGTGCTTAGACAGATTAATGTCACTTCGATGCGAAGTAAGACGTCCTTTTAGTGATCTTCCAGTTTGACCAATATAACAAGCGTTACACTCAGCACAAGGTAAGTAGTATATAGTGTTAACTTGTTCCAAAGTGGACAAGGGTGTTTTAGTTTTAGAAAACAAATTTCTAACAGTCTTAGCATTCTTAACTGCAATTTTAACTGGTATGTTATTCTGTTTATACAGTTTAATAAGCTTCTCAGTAACTTGAGGAAAATAAGGCAGAGATGAATAATGGGTGGTAGGATTCTCAAGATTATCATTAGGCAGAACAATGCTATTGACTGAATTATTTGAAATGGTTCTAAGTTGGTCACCATTGGGTATATCATCAAAAGAGGATTCATAACTTTGAGAATATAGGTATTTATTTATGATGGAGGATGGATATGAATTTTCAATTAGAATATTTCTTAATAATTTAAGGGATTCCCTTCGATTAATCGGATGTGTCAATTTATGTAATCTGTAACTAAGTGCTTTAATAAGGTTCAATTTATATTTCATAGGGTTACAGGAATGGTAATTAAGGAACCTATTGGAGGCCATTGGTTTTCTATACCAACTTGTGGTCAGGGTGTTATCTCCCATTCTGATGACACGCATGTCTAAAAAGGGGATGCTATTTGTGACAGTGTCCTCAAGTTCAACAGTGAACTGTAAATGAGGATCAAATTCATTGAAAAAGGATAAGGTACCCTGAACCTTGTCAGGTGGTAGGGCCAATAATAAATCATCCACATACCGCTTAATAAAAGGGATTGGAAATTCTAAACGGCCTAAACGCTTAAATAATTAATTAGATAAATAATTTTAAGCTACCACAAGGTTACATTTTAGTAAGCTTTGATGTGGTTTCTGACCGTTTAAGCCGCTTAGAATTTCCACCCTACCACCCTACCACCTGACAAGGTTCAGGGTACCTTATCCTTTTTCAATGAATTTGATCCTCATTTACAGTTCACTGTTGAACTTGAGGACACTGTCACAAATAG